AGCCAGCATAGCTGGCTGGGGAATTCTGAGAGTTGAAGCCCACTCATCTTAAAGTTGCCAAGTTTGAAAAACAATGGTTTAAAAGAATGAGCTGGGTTGAGATATTTGGCCTCTGTCCACATGTACGGAGGACTTGCACCCCATAGAGATTTTCCCAGCTTGCTTCTGTGATGGAAAAGGATCCAACAGGGATGCCTGTGTACAAAATACAGAACCTCAGGTCCTTCCCATGAGACTTTATCTCAACCTACACTTCCTCGCATGATTTGAGTTTGAAATTTCCAACGGTGCCAAAAACAGCCTTGAATACATTTCTATATTTATTATGTTGATCTTCCTAAGGATGTTTGGGGTGCTTATTATTATCATTATCATTATTCCATCATGAGGGTGAGGCTTGATTTAAAAATCTGCTTGCTCTAAACGGGTCCCATGATTTGGTATTGGAATGATCCTGCTTTGCCCTTCTAAGATTGATTTCTTTTCCCTCCCACTGCCTTTCACCCTGTAAGATATTTCAGTTCCTTTGGGCCTTTTAAAGAGCTACACCAAATGTTTCCTCTATGAGCTTCAAAATAGAGCTTGGCCATTCCTGCGGTATATGGGTAAAATTGCTCACCTAGGGGAACTAGAATATGAAGACAGGTGACCAGCCTTCCAAACCTTGGACCTTCAGGATACTTTTAAAAAGTCAAGTCCCCCTTGAGTAGAGCTGGTAATTTTATGTCCATGTTCATATAAATTGTTTGGTGGAAATACAGAAGTAGTTCGCAATTGCCCTGTCTGGATTTTTTCTCCCAACTCCCCCCAAACTAATCTCGAGGTTTCTTGATTATCTCCCATCCAAGTCTTAACCAGGTCTGACTCTGCTTAGCTTTTGGGGGTTCAGCTAAGAACAGCTACATGGTACCACCTGATACAGTGTCTTGCATCCTGCATCCATTAATATCTCTTTGGGTTTTAGCTGGCTTTTACTAATGATGTACAGGCATTCAGATGAAAGTAACAGTCTTTAGAGCCATGAAAATGATCTCCAGTGAGGGCTCACTTCTAAGAACTTAGAGAGACAAGTAAATTCTCATCCTCTCTGACATTCTAGCATTTTGAAGTATTCTTAGCAGATAGTAAAGGTCCTGAAGCATGCTACGAAAAGCAAGATTGATAATTCTGTTCATGAATTGGGATCATCCTACAGTGTCAGAGTCTGCACACTCATTCCCAAAGTTCAGTAAATCTTCTGGAGCCAGATCCTGACATACAGTGCACAACCTCATATCATCGTACTGTTGGTAATAATAATGGCTTGCAACCATACGAAACATGAATTATGATCATCATTGAGCAAAAAAAGACATCCCATGTTCCCTCTGGCTTCCTCCCAATCTGGCAGATCTCTTCAACTGAGATATTTTAGGCATTCGTGTTAACCACAGTCAAGGCTGCTTCAGTCATCCCTTTTAATGTGGGTTGGAAACAGGTTGTGCAAAACAATTCAAATTCATAACATCCTGAGAATAAAATGCCCTGTTTCAAATTTAAAACAATTACTTCACGCCCAAACAGGTTGTCCTAACCATTTTGGAAGTGTTTTGAATTTAAAACACCTCTCTGTTGAGCTTGAAACATATAGCATAATCCTAGCTGGATTCTTTGGAATCTCTGATCATTCTTCATAGCGGTTAAGACTGATCATGATGTAACCTTTAACTGCGTAAGAGCTGAAATGGGAGATTGACAGCACAAATCAGAGATTTGCTAATGGGTGTAAAAGATGTTCTTCACAAAATACTAACAATAGCCTTTGCCACAGATCCGAAATATGTTTCCATTGATTTTCTTGGGTGTGCTGGTAGTGCAAAGCTAAAGAGAATCAAAGCTAAAAGAGACTTAGAGTCCCTGCTTGGTCACAAGTGATTTTGGACCAATTTTCCTCAGCACAGTGACGTCACAGAGTTGTGATATTTGTAAACTGAGGGGAGAAATCTCACATGTTCTGTCTTGAACTCCCAGAGAAAAAGGGAGATATACATGCAACAGATAATGAATGCATATATTTTTATTCCTGCTTTCCCATCTTTTCTTTTTATTTATGGAGAGAGAGAGAGAGAGGCCTATCTAAACATACAGACTCTGGTGGCTAATAACGGTTAACAAAAACAATGTAATGAAACCTCTATAGGCCAAACAGAAACCAAAATTAAAATTAAGCATAGCCCAATAACCAAGGCACTATATAACAAACTCACCAATAATAGTGGTCGAACGCCTAGGGAACAAGTCAGGTCTTAACAGCCTCCCAGAAGGCCACAAGGGTTGGAGCCATCTGGATCTCAGGGGCAAGGCCATTTCCATAGGCCACTGGGATGAAGGAGGCACATTACAGTCCTGAAAGATGACATGGTTTAATAGAGGAGACCTGGAGCATTCACACCTTGTCAGATCTAGGGGAAGAGGTAGACACCCTCAGAGATAGATGGTCCCATAAGTAGCCTGGCCCTGTGCCATGTAGGGCTCTCAAGGGGATAATCAGCACCTTGAATTGCATTCAGAAGCATACTGGAAGCCGGTGCAACTTGCATAGTAGCTGTGTAACACAGATATGCTTTGGTGCACCCAGGATTGTACTTGGACCAGCTGCATTTTGGACCAGTTGAAGCTTCCAAGTGTTTTTCAAAGGCAGCCCCATGTACAGTAGTCCAGTCAGGAGGTGGCAGGCATGAGTGGCCCTGAGCAGGGCCCACGGGCTATTTATGACTGACATCAAGGAGAGAAGGCAAAGGATTTGTCTAACTTCTCTCTCTGTAGTACAGTGGAACCTCGGATTACAAACGCTTCTGTTAACGAACTTTTAGGGTTACAACCAGCTCTGGCTGCAAAATTTTGCTTCGGTTTGCGAACTCCGCCTCAGGGTACGAGCAGGATATGCGACAATTTTCCCTCCCATGACACGGTCCGCGGCCCTTTTTCCGCCCCTGACACGTGGTCCGCGGCCATTTTTCCGCCCCTGA